CAAATAATTGAGCTTTAAAAAATGCAAAACACAAATCATTTTAAACCATAAAAAACTATTGATAACATCCGATCATTGACTGGATCATTAAGTCATAACATAAAATTTGTATTTAATTTAATTCTTTTGAGCACTTTGCACATGTATACGTTTAAATAAGGCAAATTTATATTATATTGATGACATAACACAATAAAATCCATATTGCATAAGTGCTTGTAATGATGACAATGTTATTTAACTAACAAACGCGGAATTAACAAACACAGAATTCTTTTTACTTCCGATGTATTGCTTTTTATTTATTTGCAACTTTTGCAACAAAGGAATAAAATCTCGTATGAATCAGCACTTTGAACACTAAAAACGAAAATGTTATAAAATAAATATTTCTTTTGAAACATTAGTATAATTAATGTAACAAATTAAGTGTATTCCAAAACAGATTTTACATTAGACGGAAAATCTACACTCAGTAAAAGTAATGACATTAAATTTATAATATCAAATTTTAGTTTAGTTTTAAAATTGTATACAAATTATTGTCCATTTTGGGTTTACCACACGGGAAAAAAATTGATCACAAAGGTTATAACATGGAAGTATAAAACAGATGGAAGTTCAATCGCATTGAAATTCTTTCGGACTATGCTTGTAAACTTTTGTTTAGTAAACAAAAAAAAAACAACATCAAGACTGCACTTAAACGCCCAATCTTTACAAATAGGTACGTTTATAATAATTTAAATATATAGTATTTTGAATGTTCGCCAATATTCAAATATAAACATTAAAAATGGCGCAACAAAACGGCAAACAACAACATTTTTATAAACTTCATGTTAAATGGAGTAATACAAGAATGAATGGAATTATGATATACAGATAATGAAACTTTAAACTTTAGTAATTTAGAAAACAACTTTTTTAATTTTTTAAAAATTGTTTTAGTTGTCTTTTTAATCAAATGTCGTGTTATGACTTGAAGCAAGAAAAGAAGCTTAAACTAACATATGCTTTTAAAGTAAAGTGGTTCTATTTAATTACCGAGTTTTAATAAACCTTTTGTTAAATAATTGCAATTACTAATGGATAAAACTTTGCAGCATATCCCTAGAATAATTCTTTTTTTAATGTTTAAATAAAAATCATTTCAGTGAATTTTGTTATTTTTTGTCCAGTGAAACTTATTTTTTTTTTTATTGTCGGTTACCAGCATACTCCCGAGACGACTTGAAATTGCTTTGATGTTTGCGGCTCGATGAACTTCCATCTGTTTTATACTTCCATGGTTGGAACAATTCAAAATCTCAAAAACCAAAAAATACTAGCGTCGGCCCTATATATATATATATATATATATATATATATATATATATATATATATATATATATATATATATATATATATATATATATATATATATATATATATATATATATATATATATATATACATTATAAATGTGGCCATATTTCGCGACGGTAAGAAAGGAGGCGTGAACGTTCTGGTTAAATGCACTTCCGCGGTGCTCTGTGACATGGGGCACCTAAGTAACAAAATATATGTAATACACACAATATTAAGATTCGTAACTACTAACAGCGGTTAAGGATTAAAATGGTTAAAGTGTCTTTATTAACGGTAAGCTATAATTTTCTGCTGCCCAATCTATAAAGTCGAATTATGGTAGCAAGTCTTAAAGGATGCTTACTGCTCAGATCAGTTATGCAGCATAACAATCTTTCTTTGTACTCTGGATGATTATTGTTTTGTTTATACCTTGAACAATATTTATAAAAGTATTGATAAGCAGTTTCGACAGTTTGTTCACTATAGGGCTCCAAGGAGGATCCTTTACTACTGATGAAATCTTTTATGCGGCAGAAGACGGTGTGAATTTTGGTAACGCTTGCACCAGTTATCATTAAGTAGCACCTTTCGAAATTTTCAATTAATTAAGCAAAATCTGGCTAAAAGATAAATTCAAAGCTTTTATGAAACTATTGAATGAACTAATTGTTAAAAACTAATTGAAGCTTATTGAAAATATTGAATTCTTTAATTAAGAGAAGCATGTTGGGAACCGAGATCTTATCACAAGATGCTGGAGCACATCCACATTTTTAAGAAGCTTCCTGCATTCGATCTCCTCGAACTGGCCCCCATAATACGGGCAACTTTCTTATCGCAAACCAAAATTTATTTAACTCCAATTGCATTATTCAGTGACTAGATTTTTTTCAGCGATGGAGAGAGTCTCTGCAAAATCTTCTGATAACCCACAAGAATTTGTCTCTTAAGTCCAGTGTCATAGCCAGTCCTTTGAATGGGAGGTTATTTTTCAGACTGTGAGCTAGTATCAACCATTAACGCTTTATCATTAATGTTTAGATAAAACTTAAGAAAACCTTTACCACCATCAATCTAGCTTAACAAAACATCCACTAGAAGTTTGCAAGATTGAATAACATGATTTACAAGAATTGACAAACCATTGCAGTGAGCAACAACTCGAACTGTACCTGAATCTCCTTTTCCGTCGGTAATACACTGCAGTGCAATTCACAAAAGTTACTGCAATGAAGCAAAAGTCACAACAACTCACAAATGTCACTGCAGATGAAGATATCACTCAAGGGTGCTCCTAAGAAATTCTTATAAAATTTTCTCTTAAGAACTTAAAAAAAGTGCTCTTAAGAAATTTTTATAAAAATTTGTCTCTACCATCTTGTTGCTTGATGTTTGGTTTACAGTTCTAATCAGTTTCTTTAATCCGTTGTTTGATCAGTCCCGTATTTAAATGTACATTAGCAAGAGTCAGAGAGTCAATTTCAGAGCGCTTGATAGTGACTGGGCGTTTTTTTGACCTGAAACCAAAACATACATATTTCATCTTTGAATTAAACTTTGTTCAGAAAGTTTAAAACTTTTAAATTATTTGTTTTAAAAGTAATTCAGAGATTATCTAGGTCATATTTAAAAACTCCGGAACACATTTTGGAAAAAAAAAAAATGTTTTGCCCTCATATTTGTCTCAAATTTACTTAAACTAGTGGCTTTCTCAATTTTTTTGAACTTTTTTGTATAGGTATGACTTAAAAAGTTTAGAAACATCATGTTTAGGGTTAGGGTCAGATTTAGTTATTACTTAGGGTTAGGGTTAAAATATATGCAATATATAATATATTGCAGTATATATTTTAGGTATAAAAGTTTACTTAAACTTGTGTTTACGGAAAACGTTTTGGAAATCCGGAAAAACTAAAATTGAAAAGATATATCCAGAATTCCAGTTATATCCGAAAAAAGATAATCCCTGAGTGATAAGAACCTTGTCGCTTTTTTTGAAGATTTTCTTTGAATATATATAAAAATTGTTTCATCATAAATATTTACCTGAGGTAATTGCAAATGGAGGCCCACCAAATGCTTTAGCATGTTGAATAAATCCTTCAGGGGATAAATCTTTATTGGAAATAACTCAAGATGCAATTTTTTCAGTTGCTCTGGCATTTTGCTACTAAAGATTGAAGGTTTTCCCTGAACTTTATTTATTAGCATTGTTGGGGCAAACTTTTTCCTAAAAAGCAGAGGCATGGGCTGCAATATATATTTGCTTTGTTCTAAATGGCGGTTTGCTCTTCAAGAGGATGCTTGCAGCCTTGAATAACCAATATGGCATATTAGGCTATAATACCTCGTGCCTCTTGTTACAGATCTCACTTGTACTGAATTGAAATTAAATAAAGGAGGGAGTATAAATTCTTTCTCCTCTTGTTTACTGCAAAAAATTGTTCTATACAATTCGCAGAGTTCTTGTGGTACCCGAGAATCACTGGTATTGATCTTTGTCTCGTACAGTTGGCATTTTCGATCTGCTTGGAAAGCAGTAAGTTGTCATTTTGTTAGACAGAGCAAGCACACTAACTTTCAACTTTCATAGTGAACTTTTGCTTGACTTAGCATTGTAAAAATTTATTAAATTAAACTATCCCATTTATAAATTTAACCTGAATTTATATTGGATAACAATCCATTAAAAAATTACTTAAATTACAAGCAAATAATTCTTACATAATTCTTTTCTTTAAAGGAAATAATTATTTAAATTAATGACACTTTTATTATTTTACCTAAATTGTCAATAAGTCATACTTAATAACAATTTAGTCTAATCTAAATTTTTATTTTTTTTAATGTATTTTTTTTTAATGATATCTTTATAAAAGCTTTTCAACTACTTTTTAACATTTTCATGCGCTTTGACAGTAGCTTATACCTTAGAAAATGCTGATATTTTTACGAAATACATAAACCAAGTCAAACCACACTTTAAATAGCAAATCAATATTTTGCTCCATAAAATGAAAATAGTAGTTTCATTTTATAGAGGTAGCAAAAAGCAATTATAGCAAAAAATGTTAATATAGCATAGTAGGACACTCATGCAGGCATCGGCAAGAGTGGCGGGCGATCCAACTCTATGCACGACCAAGCCTTAAATATAATGGTTGCAACAACTTGACCACGACTTTTTACACGTTTGATAACGTAATTAAACATCTGAAAAGCCTTGGTCAAGTTATTGCAACTCTATATTAAAGGCTTGGTCACACATAGATTCGGATCGGATAACCATTATTTTGAAAATAGTAACCAAATATCAGAGTAATCTGTAATTTTTTGAGGTATAAGGAGCAAAACTAATAAAATATAAATTAAAACTGCCATAAATTGAGTAAAAACCAGTTAAGAAATCTGGCTGAAATTTTATCCAGAGTTTGGTGCGGCCATATGCTACATATGAAACCAATTTTTATCAAATTAAATAAAGTGGTTCTCATTTTACAGATGTTTTTATAGTCACACTATAAAGTCAAACTTTCACTTAATTTGACCATTCAAATTAAATTATTTTTCGTGGACAAAACTAAAAGATTTCATAAACAATATGCATCACAAGGTACCTTAATGTGTACGCGATCACTATATATAAGTGGCGTTCTTGGGTCAGCTAGGTTGGCATTAACAGGATCTGTGCTAACCATATCTAATAAAATTTTAGTATTACAAGTTATGACCATGTAGAGTTGCTTGCTTATGGAATCACATAGGACTATCGTTTCTGTTAGACTTTAGGCTGCTTTTAACAAGTAATGGAAACAGTAATGCAAAAAAAAAAACAGTAAACAAAAAAAAAAAACATGCAATACAGTTTTCTTTAAAATGAACAATAAAAAACACAATATTTGATGATGAATCTTAAAATTTTAATTGTGGCGGTTCTAATAAAATTATAGAAGTGTGGGAAAAAGCTACATATGAGTTTTTTTCAATTTTTTTTTTTAGTTTTATTATTTATTTGTTCTTAACTCTCTAACTCTAGAATATGACCCTTAACAAACAAGGATTGAAAACAAGGCTGTTCCGCTAGAAAAAAAATTTGCCAAGGTACTTCCAAGGGTATGAATTAAGTACCTCTTGCTTATGAAACATAGATAATTAATAAAGTCATTAAAAAAAAAGGAATTTTGAAAATAATAATAAATACCATCACTACAACATACCGTCAAAAGTGCAAGACTATTTTCAGGCGTGTCATCTTTTTTAATTTTCTTTATACTACTAAAACTCTAAACAAAAATAAAAATGTATATGTGCACGAATGTATTTATATACGTATATAGTATAAATATACTTACAATTCTAAAATCATACTTGTCTACTTTTTTTGCTAAATGAAAATCTGGAGGAAATTGAAGTAGAATTAATTCGGCTTTGAAGTAAATTAAGATCTTTATCTTCACCGAATTTACAGCAAAAAAATCATACCAAGCTTTTCGAACCTGAAGTAAAATTAATTATTATAAACAGAAAAAAAAAGTTCAATTAATTATAAATTCTTCTTCTAATAGTTTTAACTATTGATACTGTTAACTGTTATATTATTTTATAAAATTATAAAGAAAAAATCTTTTTTGTGTTTTTAAAACATTTTCAATTCTTTTTATTATTATTTTATTCAATAATTTCTTTTAACATGATTTACCATTATTTATTTTATTTAAAATTATACTTTTAAAACAGTTTTTTTTAACTTTAAATTATTTTAAGCTTTGTTAAGCTTTGTTCCTCAAGGTTTGCGTTCCAATTAACATTATAAGTAAAATTAAAAAAAAACTGAAAAAAAGAAGAACCTCTGTAACTGTTAACTGTAGCAGCTTTTTGGATTTTTTAGGAAGTAAATATATAAAAATAAACATAATTAAACAATAAGTATTATATCTTTTTTTAAATGTCTTTATTTTCAACAAGACTGCAAGCAACCACTATTAGAATCGGAAGTTACTGAAAGAGAAAAGATGAAGTTTATAAAGCAAGATAACAATTAACAGACAACTTAAAAGATTGCAAATTATATGAATCAAACCAATTCCAAAGAACTGATGTTCGAAAAAAAAAATAGTCAAAAAAGAATTTTGGGAGCACTTAAAAACAGTTACAGTAAAAGAAAAGACTTAATTGAATAAGGAGTAACACAGTAATGAATTTTAATAGATGGCAAAAAAGACGCTTCCTCATAAGAGCAGCACCCATTATAGTATTTATAGAAAAGAGAATAAGAAGCAACATTACAATGATGTGACAATGGTTGAAAGTTGGCTGCACGAGCAGGTCTAACTATGCTCATGAAGGATAAGAGATTTATAGAGATAAAGAATAGAATCCTGAGTAAGAAAGTGGCAAGCACAATAAAAAGATGTAACTTTAGCAGGTGCTAATTTTGAAATGAATTTGATATCTGGTTTCCAAGAAGGATTAAGTTAATCCTAGAAGACAAAGTGTAGAAGACTCATCGAGTATTTTACCATTTATTATTAAAGTAAGAACTAAATTATTGCGATAACAATTATCTGGAAAAAATTGAGTTTTATCTGATTTAAAGTTCACCAGCCCACAAGAGCCTCATGCTTTAATATAAGTGAGATCTTTTTCAAGCTCAAATGCCCCCTCCATTCAATCAGAGAGTTTGGCCTCCTTAGATGTAAGAATTTTAGGGAGATCGTTAATGTAAATGAAAAAAGTAAAGGGATAAAACCTTGAGGAACAATAGAAAATGTAAATGAAAAAAGTAGAGGGATAAAACCTTGAGGAACAATAGAGTTACAGGAAATGAAGAAGAGTGCTGTCCATTAAAGACTGATTTTATATTACAAATGGTAAAGAAAGACTCAATAATCTTAAAGATGTTACCTGATACACCCTAAGAAGAAAGTTTATGGAGAAGGCCAGCATGCCAAACTTTATCAAAGTTTGGCATGCAAAGCCCTAATCTCTCTACATCTATCTAATTTACAATAAAGCCTATTGATTACTACTGTTAACAAATCAGCAGTAAAACAAGAAGATCGGAAAGATTCAAAAGCTTTGCTCATGATAGTATGAAGACAGGGATAACAGATGCCGCTTTCCAGTACACTGGAAACACTTTGAAAACTTCTGCCAGACTATAACATATATGTCTGGACCATAAGCTGTAAAAGAGTCCTAGCACAAAATCACTTTAGATACAGAAGCTGGAGTGATACGAATTTCAAGCAATAGAACAACTTGTTTGCTGACTATGTGACAGGGTGGTCACTCAAATTTGAAATTGAAATTCCATGACTTTTCCATGACATTTTCCATGACTCTTCATAAACTTCTATGATAAACCACTAGAGTAAAATATTAAGTACTTTCCATGCAATTAGCTGTTGCAACTTGGTCACTAAAAAACATGCAGACCAAAAACTAATTGCAAGAAAGTTCTGAAATCATGTTTGTAAAAAACTCTGATGTTTGCATCATAACTGACAAAAGTTTGACAATTGCAACAATTGTTAAAAAAAAAACACATAACCTTTTTAGATACCAAGTAGCATGGAGAGGTGAACTTTAGGTACCAAGTAGCATAAGAGCGCAAGGGGAGTACTAGGTGTTTTACTCTAACTTTAAATACTGTCGATTACTGTAATTAGAATCAACTCTAATTACTGGCACTTTTGAACGCCATTTCGTATGATGTCATTTTAATTATAATCTTTTCACTTGTTGAGTTTAACCAGACTTTTGAACTCGTTTATTAAGTTATTTAAAAAAATTTTATTTAAACCAGTAAAAACATTGTTTTTTTAATATTTCTCTTTATTTTAAAGTTGAAACAATTGTATTTAATGTGATATTTTTAAAGTTATGAGTTCCAAACAAATTCTTAACCATGTTACGGAAATGTGATATTTCATTTTAGTTATGGGGAAAAAAAAAAGACTTACCACAAAAAATTGGCCGACCAGTACACTTTTAACAAATACTAATCTGTTTCAACAAGAAATTGCCATAAAATTTGGTATTTTGCGGGTTTACGTACAAAATATGCACAAAAATAACTAATGTGGGGAAGTTGATACCAAAGAGGGTTGGTAAATGTGGAAAAACGAGAATCCTAACACCACGCAAGTAATGATTAAAAATATTGTTCTAGAAAATATGCGGTCCACCAATAATGAAATAACTGAAAAGCTTATCCTATCTGAAGTCAAAATGTCAAAGAGAATGGTTCAACATCTCCAGCTAAGAAGCCTTAACTGACACCAAAAGTAATGCAAAAAAAGTGGGCAAAAAAACAACAATAGGAATTTAATGAAAGTTGGAAATCAATAAAATTAATTCAAATGATTTTAAAATATGCACTTTCTTCAAACTTTAAAGATTTATTTAATTGTTAATCCTTATATAATATTTTAAAATATGCTTTAGCAACGAGAGTACTTTTCAAGCGTTAATAAAGAAAGCTTAATATGTATTGAACTGCATCATTCAAATTGTTAAACACTCCACCTCTGTAATGATTTGGTCAGTAATATATGGAAAGGGGAATGGGGATGCTCAATGAAGTCGTGGCAATAATGAATCAGCTGCAATATAAAAAAGTCTTGAAACAAAGATTGTTACCATAATTGACAGAATGCTTTGGTTCATGTGAAAAAAAACCTCTATGCAGAACGGGGCACCATGTCATACCGCTTTAGCAATTAAAAAATAACTATCAGAACAGAATATTCCATTACTTGATTGGCCAGAAATCTCTCCTGAACTATGTCCTATAGAAAATGTTTTGGGTGTTCCTAAAAGAGAAAAAATTCAAAGAAAATATTACAAATAAAGTGTATTTAATAGAAAGAATTATTCACCACTAGAACCATAATGAAAGATTGCAGAAAACAGCTGAAAAATGCATGGAAAGTATGAAAAAAAGGGTACTTGCTATTATAGAGGCTCAAGGGGGAATCACCAAATATTGATTTGAATATATTTTTAGTAATTTAATATATTTGTAATGATAAAATTTAGTACCAATTTGTTTTTATTTGGCAATGTTTAAGCATGGTTTCTTTAAAAGTAATTGCAACTGCAATCAGTTTAAGTAAAACTTTGCATGCTTTTGTTAACCCATGCAAAAACCATGCTAAAACATATTTACTATCTTTGATAGCATACTTAGTTATTTTACTTAATAGTAGCGCTATTGAAAGAAATAATTATGTTTTAGCATAGTTTCTTTTAAAGTCTTTAAAATGTGTTTTAAATTTTAGTAACTAACTGTTTTTTTATCATAAATATGTGTTTTTTTATAATAAATAAAAAACTATCAATCGCATAAATCTTTGGAAAAAAATTTGAAGTAATGCGTGTGTTTTTGAAAAATTTAAGCAAACACCAACGTTTACATATGCAAAAATATAGAAACATGACGATCATTTTTCTGTCTTTTTTTTAACAAAAATTTATTATATTTACTTATTATATTGCACTTTATTATATTTGTCATGCCATGTCAAGCATATGTTTGTTACGTTAATATTACAAGAATGTATACATAAACAGTGTCATTTATTGCAACATGAAAAAATTCTTTAGACGAGTGCTGTTTTTACTGCCTATAAAAAAAGTTTTATATTTTCTTAATGTAATAGAATGCAGGCATTTTAAGAATTATTAAAAATAATTATTAAAATCACTGCGTTTTTTACTTTAGGTACAATGATAATTATACTTTTGAGAGAAAAAATTATACTTTTGCGAGAGCCATAAATTGCTCCAGTATAAATAAATATATATATACTTGGCTTTCCGTCAAGGCCTGTATATATATATAAATATATATTTATGTATATATATACATATAAATATATATATATATATATATATATATATATATATATATATATATATATATATATATATATATATATGTATATATATATATATATATATATATATATATATATATATATATATATATATATATATATACAAAATCGTGATTCCGCCTCCAATAGTAAAACTTCCTCCAATAGTAAAACTTATTCAATTAACCTTATATTTATATTAAACCTTCAAAAAAATTTCATAAATTTGGCAGAAAAAATTTTTTAAACTATCACGTAATATTTTTTAAAGAATTCAAAGAATTTTTCAAAAATTTTGCTTTAAAGTCGGAGTCAGAGTTGGAGTCGTAGTCGTACTGTGAAAATTTCAACAATTGGAGTCGGAGTCAGTACTTTTTTTTTATGACTCCACACCCCTGGCTATTACTATGGTGCTTCAAAAATGCCTGGTATGGCATCATACTGAACTCTCACACATGAGTGTCTATCTATATCAGCTTCTGTACACAAAGTTGATTTAATGCTTTTCTTCTTCTTTGAACAAAACTGCTTATTTATGAGGACCAGTAAAGTTTTCTCTACATAGAGCAGTTATCAACTTTTGTCAAATTTTGGTATTTGATTTTAGA